GCGCCAGTCGGGTGGGAGGGCAATGCCCAGAGTGGAGGTAAATAACAAAGTCTTGTAACCTGTCTAGGGACACACAGTGACTTTTTCTTCTGCTAAATTTTGCTTGTACCATAGGCTCATCATCAAAAATTAACTACAAATACGGAAGAAATTAAAAAAGAGGTCTCAGCAAGTCATGACATTTTGCTGCGCTTAGAAGAGCTGCTGCAATTACTGTGCAGCGGGAAAGCGCTGAGATGGTTGTAATGGCATCTGCTGTTTCTTGACTGACAGAGCATAAACATTTCAGAAGTACAAGCAACAGCACTGCAGCCATACAGCACCAGACAGCAATATTTACCGATTGCAACCAAGCTACTGCTATCAGCCACAAATTGCACATCTACCACGGGGTTATTCTGATTTTGTTTGAGAAATGTTCTGTTTCGGATGAAGAGGTATTAGCAGCTTCACAAACACTGTCAGCTAATCAAAAAATATTAGAGAAAGCTCCACAGCTTAGTGGTTTTCTGTCACTTGCTCTAGATGTTAGGAAAGTGTGGAAATGAATAAATGTATTAATACACAGAAGCCTGTCAGGAGCCCTTGGCACGCTGCGAGCCAGTGTACTGCCTTTGCCAGTCAAATCTGCCCGATACCCTCAGCACTCCCTGACAGCAACCCGTTCGCACAGAAGTCAGAATGGAGTCAGCTTTTAAATGGTCATATTTTGCATTATGGTGCCTGACACTAATTTCTACCTAAGCCATAAGTGATAGTGCGTTTACAGCCCCTAAGTGTGCTAATCCCTGCTCACATACCCAGCAGGAGTGCTCACTAATTTCATCCCTGCTAAGTTCTGCCTGCTGCCATCCAGGTGGATGAAACATGTCTTTCTGGACTCAGAAACAGGACTGCTGGACCACAGGCTGGGTGGGAAGGGAGACCAGAGTGGCAGCAGGAGGGGATGCAAGGCAGAAAGGGAAGAGAAGCCTGAAGAAGAGAAGACTGAGAGGGGACCTCATCAACACATACAAATATCTTAAGGGTGGATGTCACGAGGACAGAGCCAGACTCTTTGCAGTGGTGCCCAGAGACAGGACAAGGGGCAATGGGTACAAACTGAAACATAAGAGGTTTCAGTTGAATATGAGGAAAAACTTCTTTACTTTGAGGGTGACAGAGCCCTGGAACAGGCTGCCCAGGGGGGTTGTGGAGTCTCCCTCTCTGGAGATATTCAAAGCCCGCCTGGATGAAGTCCTGTGTAACATGCTCTAGGAGAACCTGCTTTAGCAGGGGGGTTGGACTGGCTGATCTCCCGAGGTCCCTTCCAACCCTTGCAATTCTGTGATTCTGTGTGAGAAGGAAGAAAAGCACTAGTGGGAACAAAAAAAGAAATAAAGTGAAGACAAGCGAAGACTCTTTCTGTCAACTTCTTTCTCTTTTCCTTTCTTCTAAGAACCTCTCAGGCTTTTCCATCATCCCTTTTGCTTGACAGCTTCCTACCTTCTCCCATTTCTCTTTTCTTATTCCATTACATTGGCCTTTTCCCTCTTCTGACACACACCACTGAAAAATGGTGCCAGTGCCAGAGCCTGCTCCCAGTAAGGCACGAGCTGCGACCAGTTGGGCGATAACCCCTGCCAGGTGGAAGCTGCTCAAACAAGCAACTGCAACACGGTGCAGCGGTGTCTTCCCATGCTACAGTAGGGAAAAATGCTGCAAAGACAGATGCTACACTGAAAATAATGAACATCGAAGGGGAAGCATTTGCCATCAAGACAAACAAACTAATAATGTGCCAGGAAGCTGTTTTATATAAAGACAAACAAATTTCTCCCATACAAAATGGGATGCATATCGAAAGAGTAGCATTTTCTGTGCTTTGGTGTCTGAAGCAGAGCAGCTGGGTGGAAAGAATATAGGATCTGTTTTTAAAGAGAAAAAGCATGGTACGGGACTACAAAGGCAATAAAGACAATCTACCTTTCATTAATCCTGATATTACATATTGATAATATGTAACTCTAGACGAAGGAGTAAGACAAATTAAGTAAGAAACAATCCCCTCTTAATTTTTTATCTTACTAGTAAATTATTCTACTAAAAACTTTTACTAGCAAGGAGAACATGCAGTATCTCAGTATTTGCTGTCATTTTTTTTCTGGCACTGAGGACTTGTGACAGCCTCCAGTACCGGTGCATGTTACAGGGCTGCAGTTCTGCCTTGAGGGGAACATGTTCTGGCATGAAACAGGGCTCTCATCCTGCTCCCAGTTACACCTATGTGAAACCAAGGTGCTGGATTTATTCCAGCAAAGGGAACAGATAACAACAAAGCTACTTTTTTAAGATACAACTGATCTGAAAAGAGCCGAGATCTCATCCCAGAAATCAAAATAACATACACTGCATGAAACATGGAGGGGTACTCTGCATTCTGGTATGTACCGAAATACATGCCTCGCTTTGCTGCAAGATGTATCTATGCATTAAAAAAAAGTAAGAGGGACTTAGTGGCACAGCCTTAAGATTGATTCATATGATTGATCAAGAACTTATCCATTTCATGGCAAATTACCAGTCAGTAAAATTTAATACAAAAAGTTGTATATTCTGCTATCCTTGGGTAATGATTTATATATAAGATTAGATTTTTCAGTCACAGCTTTTTTAAATATTTAATACAAATTTCTTGCAGTTTTTGTTGCAACACAATATTTTTTACTTTTGAACTTCAGCAGCAATGTAATATATCTTTATATGGAGACTACCAAGAGAGTTTCTTTGGACAGAGAGTAATTTTTATGGTGTTACTCAGCTCGTTCCTATTATACTCGTATGCATGTATTTTTTTAATATTTTATATCATTGCATTTTTATAATGCTAATTGTTCACTAAGAACAAAAGACATTTAGGTTAACTTTCCCTTTTGGTATTCCTACACTAACTATGGGAAGAATTAACCTTAATTATCTGTGAAGCATCACATACACTTATGACACTCAGCAAGTAATAAGCCAAATTTTGAAGTTTCTCCAAAGCTCAAAATATTCTCTTTAAGTCCCACATCACTATATTGGTGCAACGCAGTCCTGAGGGACACCTCTTTCTGAAGTATAGGATGATCCATCCCATTCTTTTTTGTTTCTCCATCTCAGAAAGAGTTTAAGGCTCTGTGCCTCAATAAATACCAGTGCACCTCAGCTATTCAATGTATTTTGCAATACAAAACCTTGCAAACATCTGAAAAAACAGCGCTCTGCAGAGGCTAAAATCAATTGCCATCTTCTGGTTTTACTCAGTCTTGAAGTCAACTCCCATTGAGTTTGATCTGCATGAATAGAAACCGAGTAAGGGCTTCAGCATTTGGCCCAATAAAAAAAAAAAAAAAAAAAAAAAAAAGAAGCCACCTCTCTAGGGAAAATATCAACATGACAGCATATCCAATTCTCCATTGCCCAGCATCTAATTTAGCCACTAGACAAATGAAAGAAAATGAGTGTTCAGAAACACTATAGACTTGTATAAGGTCCTCGAATTTCTCCAGCACTCCTTTATGCTAGGCTCAAGGGCTGGCTTTCACTTTAAATAGCCCTAGAAGATCAGTCTGAACCAGAGCAGGATTAGCTGGCTGCATAAGAAATTCCTGGAGAGGAGAGGAACGCACAGAGCTGCAGCACTCTGCCAGGCAATGAACACCACTCCAGCCCATAGTACAGACCAGGAAAGCTGCCATCACCAACAGATGAGCTTTAGAAGGAGATGACATAGTTTAATATATGGGTGCCCACCCTCAGTGCTCTCTGATGGGTGATATATGGTAGAGGAGATCATGTCCGTGCATCTCTGTTGCTTGGCGTTACAGCCCTGGACTGAGAAACAGTACAGCCAAGATGCTGCTCACATTTGCTCCTACCACTGAGGCAGTAACCTCCAGCAAAGGATCAGTGCTGACAGCAGGCAGCAATAACTTCTAAGGACCACCACTGATATTTGCTTCAGTGCCCAAAACCCAAAGCCTCTGGGGAAGCCACCAGAGTGGTCTTAATCACAGCAGGATCCTCTCCAGGCACCAGAATTGCTCAAGTTTGCAATGGCAGAAGAGATGGATAAAGGTACAACAAGCTCCTGTCCTGTCCTACGCCACACACGTCATCCTGCAACTTGTGATTTACTTAATCACAGCAGGATCCTCTCCAGGCACCAGAACTGCTCAGGTTTGCAATGGCAGAAGAGGTGGCTAAAAGGTACAACAAGCTCCTGTCCTGTCCTACACCACACATGTCATCCTGCAACTTGTGATTTAGACCATTTAGGATCTGATAGAGCTAGGCCACGCTGGACACTGGGAAAAATATAGGCACAATGGGATTAATTTATTTTAACAAACTAAAAATGTATTGTGCTTTTGGAAAAAAAATTCATAAATATTATGCTTCCATGGAGTAAAACCAATATGTACCAATACATTTTCTGCTCCAACTTAGGAAATGGGCTCCCAACTCCAAGATCACATAAACATGTTAGTGAGCACAATTTTACATGTACATAATTCCTTCTTTTTCCTGATGTATTTGCAGGTTAAAAACTTCATTGACTTGTGCAATAGTTCTTACATGTTTGTAATGTATCTCTACCTGAACAGCAGCAAATTATAAAAGCAGATTCTGTATAAGCTATCAGATTGCTGCAGGGAAAAAAACAACCAACCAAACAAAAAAACCCCCACAAACCCAAACAAACATTGATCTCACATTTAAAACTGTTTTCCTGACTTTTTCTACCAAAAAATGCGTAACATCAGTTGTGTAAAAACTAAACCATCATATGAGGCATATTTTAAAGCCTCATATAAACAATGAAGCTTGTATGGCATCCTCAGAGCAAAGAATGTCCAAATATGGCTGAGAGTTAAGTACCCTGAGAATTAACTGCTCTTAATAAATTCACTGACGTTTCTAAGTCCGCATTTACCAAGAATCAGAAGAGGAATAAAGGGAAGAGAAAGTGATTCAGCTCATTTTCCTGTACCATTTTCTAAAGATGTTGTGTTGTAAACATCCTCCATATCTTGGATACTGGAGGCATCTGTTGACTCTTGGTCACTGACTACAATTCCTACTGAAGAAAGGCTAGAAATGAAGGAGTTCATCTTTTTTGCATAAATATCCCTAATGTTAAAATAAGGTAGGTCATTACATTTCTCTTTGCGATCATTGTTGCATTGGTCTGGATCAATATCTTTTTGTTTTTGATAGTACTTAGAAAACTTATTGAAAATAATGGTGATTGGAAGTGCTACCACTAGTATCCCACAGATAATGCATAGGGTGCCAAGCAGCTTTCCAGCAAGCGTGACTGGGTAAGTGTCCCCATAACCAACAGTGGTCATGCTGATGGTTGCCCACCACCAGCAAACGGGGATGCTGTGCAGTTCTGAGGAGTCATCATCTTTCTCCACTGAGTAGACAAGCACTGAAAAAATAGAAATCCCAACAGACAAAAACAAAAGCAGAAGTCCAACTTCCTGATAGCTATGTCTCAAAGTGGCGCCTAAAGACCGCAGTCCTACAGAGTGCCTGGCCAGTTTCAGGATGCGAAATATCCTCATTAACCGCAGGATCTGAACCACTTTCCCCATGTTTTCAATATCTTCACTTTCTTCTTCCTTCGTGTCCACAGCCAAGGTGGCATAAAATGGGATAATGGAGACAAAATCAATGATATTCAGTGGTTTCTTCCAGAACTTCTTTTGACTCGGAGCAGTGATAAGCCTGATCACTAGCTCAGCAGTGAACCAGATGATGCATGTAATTTCCACAGCTTCCAGCACAGGGTCTTCAATCTCCCTGTCATTGGCGTCCAGCCTTTGAAACTCTGGCATGCTGTGAATGCACATGGCTACGATTGAAGCCAAGACAACACTCAGGGACGACACGGCAATTAACTTGGCAGACAAGCAGTATGCAGGATTTTCCATTCTGACCCAGATCTTCTTTCTTATTTCACCAAAACACAGATTGTCAAACTTTTCCAGCTCTTTATCAAATATGGATGACTCTTCGTTAGAGGAGTCTATACTTCTGTCATTGCTCTTCTGATCCCAGTCTTTCTCAGGACCTTCTTCTTTCCTTTCTTGGTACCGATTGCTGCAACAGGTATCAATAAACAGCTCATTTATGCCCCAGTACTCTATTTCCTGGCAGAAGGAAAAGACACAAAGTTCTTCCATGACATGAAGTTTGCCTGTATAGTAAAAATTCAGAACATATCGGAACAAGGAAGGGTTCCTGTCAAAGTAATATTCCTTGTCTGCAACACTGTAATCATCACACAGTTCTAGAATAGCCTCTTCTGAATGGCATTTGAGAAGTTTCCCGAGTCTGGTATGGGGAAATCGGAGCAAGGTGCTTTGATCCACCGACTGCTTAAAGCCACCCACATTCAAGTTGATAAGTTCTGCATCTTTGCCAGGTCTGCGAAAAAATTCACCATAAACCATTTTGAACAGAAGAGTTTCACTGCTGGTGCCCAACGAGATTACATTGAACCTGAAAAGAACATAAGATATTGTTAGAGCATTTAATTCTGTTTTGTTCTTGTGACACATTCTTTTTTCCATCTCTGGTTACTGTTATAGCAAAATGTTATAGCATTTTGTTATAGCATACTGTTATAGCAAAACTCCGGAAATGTTATAGCAAAAAAAGAAACAAAATGATGAATACCATTATTCAGCATTTCACAGAAGGAGGTTTGAATCAGTTTGATGGTTTAAAACAGCTTTAGCAACTTTGAAATCAACAGGTTCTGGTTTAGCTCTCCTTAATTTTTTCTACTGTGAAGAAAGAATGCCTAATTCATCAATGAATCAGTCTCTGCACTACTATCACATTGCAATTAACATTCGTGAGATAAGTTTACTGCAATGAAGTAAAAAGTCTTTGGGTTAAAGACGGAAAACATGTCAAACCACCAAAACATTTAGGACAAACCTTAAGAGCAGGTGTCTTGCAATTATAGTTTCAGTAGAGCTGTACTGCTTTATAATTTATAATCCGCGAATGTCAACATTACCTGCTTGAATGTGGACTGCAAGTACCCCTGGTGTCATATCAATTAATTTCTTTCTAGAATCATCCACAGAAAAACATTCTGCATTCTTGAAAACATATCAAATGTGCATTTGAAGCTTTCCAATTCCTGACTTCAGAGTTTTGTCTAGTACATATTTGGGTATCTGCACTCCCTTGAGGTATTTTTCTACCTGCCTTCCTACTTACCTGGAGTGTCACAACCCTCTTATGACCTTGGTCAGTTCCAGAAGCTCTTCCTATTCTGCCAAAGCATAGCCACAACCACTATGGTAATGCTGAGAAGTTGGTGTTGAAAAGCCATTTCTGGAAACAGGAGCTTCCAGAGATGGAACTTCCACAGAAATTTTGCCTCAGCAAGTAACTGTGGGTACCTGCAGATAGACAGAAGGACATTTCAATGTTTCCGTATTTTACTGTTTCCATATTTTACTGTAAGATAAATCATTCAGCTGAAACTAAATTCAAAAAGGCAGATATAGTTACTAGCAAATAAGTTAACTTTTTCAGAACTTAACTCTTGCTTTCCTTCTAAGGAACAGTTGTCTTCAAGCTAAAATTGGCAGTTCTTACAGTTGTCATGAGATTATATATAACTTCTGATCACAAGGGAGAGCAGATTTTTTTGATCTCTGACACTTAAATATCAATTGATGTATACTAAGCTAATTTCTTTCAATTTAGTATGGAAGTCAATGAACTTTAAATGTGCCAAGAGAGCATCATAATTCTGCAGTCCTAACATATGGACTCATACCATGCAAAGAAATTGCTTTGGTGCTTTTTAATGGCTTGTGGAAGCTACTCAAGGAACAGACAGTAATTTCTATACCTGCCCATCTTTCAGTGCCTCCTGCAATAGCACCAATTATGATTCAAAGTTGGGATATGTTAGAGTTTGAATATTTTTTGCTGCTCCTCAAGGTCTCCTGACTCAGTTAATGAAGGTCAGTAAGGTTATATCTATTTCCCTGTTCATAGTGTGTGCACTGCGGTTGCATCCCTGCTGTATGTTGGCATGAGAGAGGAGCACCAGCACTTCTTTACATAAAAGAAACCTGGGCATTGTCATCAAACAGGAGTCAGTGTAGACTTATAAGTGCCAGAGTGTATGGTTGGCATACTGGGCCTCAAGGGTGAGCCCCACTTTATACTACCAGAATATGCAGGAGGCAAAAGAAAAAAGAAAAAAAAGAACCCCACCCCACAGTCTTTATTCACTGTCAGCTAGAACAATTCAACTTTCTCAGGTACTTGTATTAATGGACTAGTTCTACTGAGACATATAGCCCCACTGCCTGAATTTGTAAAGACAGCAAGTGTTTTCATTCTGTAGCTCCAAATAAAAGACTAGAGCCATGGAGTCTTGTCGAGAAGGGAAGGCTCGACTGAGCTGAACTGAACTCCTGATATGAATCAACTGTGAATACCCTGAACAGAGATAAGTCTGCATCTCCACCACTGCCAGCTACAGCTCCAGCAATCACCCAAGTAACTCACTATACAACTTCTTAGGCACCTCTCTCTAATCCAGAATTGACTTCCTCATCATTTTTAAAACAAATTGACTGAACTGGTCACATCGCAGAGGTGGAGCTGTTTCCCAGCTATTGATCCCAAGTCTGTCGTCCCAAATGGGATGATCCAGTGAGGTTGTTTCCCTTAAAGGGAGGGACCCACTCTGTTGCAGAGGTCCCAACGTCCTTTTACTGTAGCAAGACCTAAAGGGAGACAACCCCATCCTGCTCCACAGTAGGGCCAACCCTCATGGGCAATGTTGTCCTTGTTATTTGTTGATTATAGAAAAGATGGAAATGGGAAAAGACTTAAAAACTGGGTTCAAACTTCTGATTAAATGCCAAGGAGAGAAGGAAATGGAGATACAGATCCACGCTGGTAGGGAAACTGCCAAACTGCCCATAGAGCTGAAGAGTTTATCAGCCAGAAGTTGCATCCCACCAGCTGAGACCGTTTTGTAGTATCCGTAAAATGCAATGATTTATTTTCTCTGTGATGGAGAACACCTACTGTTTAGAGGAGCAGCAACTTCCTGCAACTGCCATGAAGGGAAGGAGTTCCGTTGCCTTCTTGCCACTCCAGTGCCTACCAGATGGAGCGAGAACAGAGAAATAGATCACTGGGATTTCATGGTGGCAGGGTTTCAGGACACAAGGCACATCAGATTTTAATACAGATCCATTCTTCTGTTTAAGGGGAGGTTACAAAGGACTTTCTGAGCCATGATCTTCTCACTCACCTCGCCTCTAACTTTCCCACATGCAAGGTTTCTTTAAGGTTTGTAACAAACATCATTAGAGATCTGCCCAGTACTGTTCTGTCTTACTATTTTCCTTGTATTATTTTTTTACAGTCCTTTGTACGAGTAGGAACACAGGGTCTGATGCTATAAACCTCACGTATTCTAACTGCTTCTTCACAGGACTCATTCCAACCAAAGCTACTGAAAATCTCACAGTAATCTCCCTGTGTACAACAACTACTGACACCTACAACACATGAACTACCAGGCCGAGAAAATGCTGAAACTACATATTTGCTCTGGTAATTAACTCTGTAAAAACAGATCTCTATCCAGAGTGAGCTTTATCTATATACTGAAAGAAAAATGTTCTTTTGAAAAACAGGAAAAAGCATTTATTTTTCTGGCCACACTACAAACCCCTTTAAAGAACTTATCTTAAATCCAAATTAGTTTGAAACATTAATTTTACTGTGTGCACAGCCTACCATACAATCGAGGTAAAGTTCTTGCTCTGCTAAGACACGGGCTGGGGGGGAAAGAAACATTACATGAGATGTACTGCTTTCTAACTAAGCAAGACAGAGGATAGTCAGGTTTTATGGAATGATAAACAGTGTACATAGAAGTGACTTTACACCTTAGGGTGTAGTTTGAAGACAGGTATTTACTAGCTAAGAGAATGATTTTAAGACACGGTTACTCCGGGCACTTCTAAGGGCCAGCTTTTAGGAATGATTAGGACATAAAATAAAAGCACTAATCTCTACTCACAGACGAAGGGCAGCAGGACTCAGCTGATAAACAGTACCACACTTCACTCATGATTTAGAACCAAGCTGTGTTTTTACCAACACTATAAATTAAAAAAAATTAAAAAAAAATCAAGGACTGGGGTGAATGGAGGTCAAAGTATATTCAAAACCAAGCTGACTATATTTATTATTTAATTTCAGTGAGTAAAATCTCTACTTCACTTTCAGCAATTCATTAAGATGAGAGCACTAGCAATGTAAGCTAATATTATAAAAAACAGGCAAGATCTCAGATTATCGAGGGGCATTTCTGACCATAACAAAAACAAAGCAAGTTTTCCTCAGAAATAACTAAAGCAAGAACTCAGTGCTCAGCAAATCCTCAGCACACTAGACTCTGACTTACTGTTGACACAGCAATATAAACCCATACTGATTATGCAGATTATATTCATAATGGTGCCTCCATGTAATTGCTCCGTATAATAAATTCAGTGAGCAACAATTCACTGCTTTGTTTTGAGGGCACTGTACACAGAGAAAAAAAATGGGTCTTGCTTAGGAAGGCCATGATCTGGAACCTGCTACAATACTACTATTAAGTGATTTTTAGATAAAGGGAAGAATATACAGGGAATTTTCATGATAACTGTGTCAAGAGGAGCTTCATGATCTGAAGAACGTTTTGTTTGACTTGCAGGGACCTTCATCCCTGTGCCATGGACCAGGACATTGTTGTGCCAGGCACCATCAGAACAGTTTGTGGCATTTAAACAAGTGACTCCAGCCACAGGGCAAAGACCACAGATGACAACTTCTGTCTCAGCACAACATTCTCTCTACTCAAGGGAAGCCTTTACTCACTGAACCGACTTTTTTATTCAAGGGGAAAACTGCTCAGCTGGAAACGATGCTTTCCTGGAGTGCCAAAGCCTGTGTCATGAACATCCTAAGAACACAGAGCTACCACAAACTTTGCAACTCTCAACTTGAAATGCAACATTAACCTCTTTGATCTTCTGTAAACAACAAGTATTCATATATAACATAATAAACTGTTAACTATTCCAAAGCACACACTTCTTGCCCTGGAGAGAGTACAAGAGAGTAAGCAAACACATACCAGATGTTAGTTCCTTGGTTGCTTTAATTGCTTCGGTTGTTTCAATGAGCTACTGGATAAGAACTCATATGGAATAGAAAATGAAACAAAACACAAAAGAAAGATGCTTACTGGAAGAATCAACATTTTCCGAGATGATGAAAAAAACCCAACAAATAGAAGTTCCAAATGTTAAGCTTGAGGGCCAAATAAAAGCCAGTCATAAGGAAAGCTGTGTGAAAAGGATACAAACATTAGAATAAAAAACAAAACGACAGGATCCAACTCTTC